ACATAATATATATATTTGGGGAAGGGGGCGGCGGCGGCGGCCACACTTCGCTTCCTTTTTCCTCCGCTCTCTCGGCCCCTCCTTAGTCAGTGACAGGCTCCACCCCCCCTCCCTGCTGATGACAGTCAAACCTCCTTAAGTTGTGTCTCGCCACAGCTGTCTGTGAGCTCTGAGCCGACTGGCGCCATCCTGGTCTCTTTCAGAAAGAATGCCTTCCCTTTAAAAAAAAGAGAGAGAGGGAGGGAGGGAGAGCGAAGGGGGGGGGAGAGAGACAGGGAGTACAATTTGAGCCGATCAGGTTCTCCCTGGGGTCCTCCCCTGTAACTTTTCCAACGCAGCTTTAGTTTTGCGGCGTGCCTTTAAGAACGTCTCTCGCTCTCTCTCCCTTCCTCCCTCCCCGGTTCTTCCCCGCCCCCCCTTTAAAAAAAAAGTTGCGTTCAAAATGTTTCCAGTCCCTTAGATACAGCATTTTTAAAAAAGTCTTCATCTGGGGACCTGGGCATTTGCAACTCCCCCCCCCTTTTTAAAAATTCCGAACGATTCTCCGGTCTTGCTGCGCTGCTCCAGGTGAAATTGACTAACCGGGCGGCAGGCGAGAGCGAGCGAGTGAAATTGCCCAACCGACCAGCGGCTGCCTGGCGCTAGATCTCCCCGGGTCGGTTCCACCACGGCGAGGCTGCAGACGGCCCCGATGTAGAGCGGGGGAGAGAGGGGAGAAAGGTGCGTCCCCTTCTTTTCGGATAGGTGAGCGGCTAGGCTATTAGGGGCGGGAAAGGAGTTCTCTTGGAAGGGCTTCGTCTCCGGCGCCTGGAAAAAAGAGAGAGAAGCAGTCGTTAAAGTTCTTTTTAACAAAGTTTCTTTCTCTCTCTCTCCCTTTTGTTTCTCTCCCTTCTCTTCCTCGCAGGTGATCAAAGAAGAGAGGTGAAGATCCACCAAGGAGAAGGCGGCGCGCACCGGAGGGGAGGGGGAATTGTCCCCAATCTCATTTTGGGGGGGGGACGGGGGGGAGGGAAAGCGACTATTTGTCGAGAACTGCCTTTTGCCTGCCCATAGAACTCTCGATCCTCGGACTGTTTGACGAACTTCTAAGCTACCCGTTGGCTGACTTTTCGGTTTCCCCTTTGTTATTATTATTATTATAGGGGAGGGGGGTTGATTTTGTTTTTTGTTTTTGCACGGAGAGAGGACTTTCAAGGCAACAAAGAGAAACCCCGAACGCTCGCCCAGTTCCCGAGTCCAGCAGGATGGAGGTGACCACGGATCAGCCGCGCTGGGTCAGCCATCACCACCCGGCCGTGCTCAACGGACAGCACCCGGATTCGCATCACCCAGGACTGGCGCATTCATACATGGATCCCACGCAGTACCCTCTGGCCGAGGAAGTGGATGTACTTTTTAACATCGACGGACAAGGCAACCACGTCCCTTCCTATTACAGCAACTCGGTGAGAGCCACCGTACAGCGGTACCCGCCGGCCCATCACGGTGAGTCTCCCAGAGATCCCGGAAATCTCTCACCATCCTCCCCCCCCCCAAAGAGGCTAGATCTGACAGCCGGTAGTAAGGCCCGGAAACAACGCCGCCCGTCTCAGCGTGTTATGTGTGCCTTTCCCAGCTGCAGGTTTTTAATGCAAGCCCCGCGAAATTGACCAGTTCTTGGACGAGGCTGCCTTTGAAATTGACACGACCGGGCGGTTGAGTTAGATGCCCGGTTTCCTCCGGGCTTGGCCGGCTGGGGGTGAAATAGAAGCGCCCAGATCCGGCCTGGGGCCCGGTGGTTGTTCTCAGCCTGTTATCCTGAGGTACGTTTCCTCGGGAAACAGGCCGTCGTTTTAGGCCAGGGCCCTGGGTTCCAAGGAAGCCCGCGTCCACATTTTGGCCTCCGATGGGATGCGGGGTTGTGTCTCCGGCCTCAAACTCTCCCGAGGGGAAGTAGATTTTGGCGGAGTAGAGAATGGCCCGTGTAAATGTGTCTTCGCCCGGGACGGAATTAGGCAGCTCGGTCCAAAAGTTTTGGCAGGGAGAGCTGGTGGGCCCCGATGAAACGGGGCTTTGGCCCTCGGATGAAGTGCGCGTGCACGCGAAAGCTTCGACCCAGAATCTGGGCCCCGATCCAGGCGAAGGGAGGCACTTCCCCCCAGAGATACGGGGATCGATTTCTGCAGGGTAACCAAACTCCTGCTTGAAAACTGGTGATGCAAAGGCTCGCTGGGGAGGTGGGGGGAAGTCAGTACCGCGGGACTCGCTCCTCAGCCGTTGTAAGCTCGACCACCAGTGTTCCCTCTCAGCTGTGCGAGTGTGAGCTAGCTCACAGTTCTTTAGCCGCCGGCTCCCACATTTTCGCCTTCGCTCAGGAAGGAGGTTCTCCAGAGCAGACTCATTTATGCAGCAGCCAAAATCGCTGGCTCACAACCTTAATGCCAGCAGCTCACAAAGTCGGATTTTTGGCCCACGAGACTCCACAGCCTAGAGGGAGCGTTGGAGGGCACCCCTTGGAACGCAAAGGGGGCTCCACTTTCGAAGCCCCCCAATTTTGCAAACCGGGGGGGGGCGGCGGAGAGGGCTACGCGGCACCCCAGCATTAGGGCGAATAATAAATTACCCCCCCCCACACACACACACAGAAACGTTTTTACGCGGAAGCAATCTCCTGCGAACTCGCTGGATCGCCCTCCACGGCGCAGGCCTCAGCCAGACATTCCCCAAACTTTCGGTTCTTGTACAAACTCTGGGCTAGCCAGCCAGCCATTTCTCTCCCCCCACCCCCTCTGGCTGTCATTTTTTTAAAAACTTCTAATACTAATAATAACACCAATGGGGGAAAGCAAACCACAATAGAGTCTCTTGGCAGGGCTTTGGAAACCGCTCAATTAACTGTTCCGAAGCAAGCAAAAACAACACACAACACACCAATTTTAGATTGGGCAACAGGCGAAGTGGGGTGGGGGTGGGGGGGGAAGAGAGAGACTCTCCTTCCGTTCAGAGACAGAGCTCCAAAAGAGGTGTGATGCATTTGCCTCCGGGCCGAGGGGTTAGGATTGAGTCTGTCAAAAGGGGCAGACGGGATTGTCTCATAGGGACTTTTCCACCGGCGTGTACGAATTTGTGCTTCCTGCTTATTCAGCATCCCGCCGGAGGAGGATTTGGTTCGGGCCTACTAAAAGGTGGCCTGCGAAAGGGTTAGCAGCTCGACGGGTTAGTTCCCAGTCCCTCTTGCGGGGAAAATCTGGGGAAAAAAGAAAATACTAGACAGTGGTTCCGTTCAACGGGACTTTTTCTGTTTCCACGGGACCCATCCAGGGTTCCCTCTAAGCTGAGTGAGGGTGAGCGAGCTCACAGTTTCTTAGCCTCCGGCTCACACGTTTTTGTCTTCGCCTAGGAAGGAGGGCTCCAGAGCAAACTGATTGATGCAGGAGCCGGATCGCTCGCTCACAGCTTTCATGCCGGTAGCTCACAGAGTAGAATTTTGGCTCACAAGACTCCACAGCTTAGAGGGGGCATTGGACCCTATCCCAAGCTTGCGGAGTTCTAGAGCATTTAGGATTGGAACAATTGGCTCCCCGTGTTGAGCCGAAGCAATAGAGCAAATAGATCCAGGTAGAGGAAAGTTCGAGTCCAGGGACACCTCTCAAGACCAACAACATTTAATTCGGGGTATAAGGTTTTCCTGGGCGGGCACACTTTTTCAGATCCTGGGTAGAAACTTTCGTTTGCACACTTCTTCGGATCCGTGGCTGTGAGCTTTTCGTGTGCCTGCACGGGAAACGTTTATATACCCAGGATTAAACTTTGTGGGTCTTCAAGAGGTCCCTGGACTCTAGGACTGAACGAGACATCTTTCCCCAAGCAGGGAGTCACCTTTACTTCCGGAAAGGGAAATTTAGGGAGCTCTGCCGTGTTTAGGATTGTTAACTAGACATCTTTGCCCAAAGGTGGTGGTGGTGGGGTATCTCTTGAGGGATTCTGGGGGTCACTCCTAGTACCCCCAGAAGGTCCAAAGGGTGGGCGTGACTACCCCAGGGACTGTGTTTAACTACGGAGAGAAAAATAGTCCAGTCCAGTGTTCCCTCTAAGCTGAGTTAGTGTGAGCGAGCTCACAGTTTTTTAGCCTCCGGCTCCCACATTTTTGACTTGGCTCAGGAAGGAGGGCTCCAAAGCAAACTAATTTATGCAGCAGCCAAATCGCTCGCCCACAACTTTAATGCCAGTAGCTCACAAAACAGATTTTTTTTGCTCATAGGACTCCACAGTTTAGAGGGAGCATTGGTCCAGTCAGCTTCCGGCTAGCAGTCTAGTTGACTGAAGTAGCTAAAGTTAAGATACGAACAAAGACTAGAACCAGTTGTATACCCCCCCCCCAAATAGAAGGAACGTTCCTTATCTGCTCACTTTTACTTCCGCGTAAGCACGCAGCCTCAGACATTCTCTGGGAGAGCGCTGCTCCTCTTTTACTGGATCAGGCCCACTTTTTCTATATAAAAAAATAGAGAATCCACCCCATGGAAGAGTTCTGTTGGACTCGAAAGCTTGCGCGGCTGGGCTGGCTGGCGCAGAGGCCTGCCTTTGCTGCTCGATATAATTAAAAAAAGAAGAAGTAGTAGTAGTAAAACTTTTTATAAAGGGCGAGATGTGGGGGATAAGTTGACAAGGCCCCGAGATTCAAAATCAGCTGGGGGGGGCATTTACTGTGCTCAGGCGGCCTCCTCTTGGCAAAATTCAACATTTTCGAGGGGGTTTCAGGGTATCCCCAAATTTTGGAGGAAGGGAGCGTCCGGGGGATTATTTCCCCGGGGGAAGGGTTGTTCCCCGGTGGTAACAGAAAGCTCCGGCAGTAGAGAGTTATCCCAGTGGGTTGAGCAAGCCGAATTAATTAGGGATTGCCTAGCTCAGGATCCTTGCGACATATGGCAACACATCGTTGATCCTGTTTTTCTCTCTCCCCTTCCCACTCGCAACCCGCAAAGCAGCCCCTTTGATCTGCCCGCAAAGGGTTTTGGGACTTCCCTGAGTTGCGTTTTCACACGTGCGGGTCGGAAGGCGGTCGCGTGTACTTGAACGAGACCCGCAGCACGCCAGCTTCCCGACGTGCATTCGTTGGAAAACCGGCTTCCTCGGCCTGTCGCCCGCAAGAGCAAACGTGGCACGCATGTAGGGCTGAAATATACTGGGCCTTTTTGAGGGTCGGGTAGGAAAGGGGGTCGCTGGCGGGGGACCCTTCTTGGAGAATAAATTTGGAGTCGTATGCACGCTTATTCGGGAGTCAGCTCCCTGGAACGCAGTGGAACATAATTCCGAGTAGAGCAAAATTAGACTCCAGTGGCACCTTGAAGACCAACAACGGTTTATCCGAGGTATGAGCGTTCGTGTGCAAGGCCCACCTTTTTATACCTTGAATAAAACTCGGTTGGTCTTAGAGGTGCCACGGGACTCTAATTTTCCTGTACTGCTGTCAGACCAACAAGGCTTGCCCACCTGGATTTTACTTCTGAGTAGACAGACATAGGCTTGGGAAGTCGAGAGCCACAACTAATGCTCCCTCTAAAATGTGGAGTCTTGAGAGCAAAAATTCTGCTTTGTGAGCTACTGGCATTAAAGTTGTGAGCGAGCCATTTGGCTGCTGCATCAATTAGTTGGCTCTGGAGCCATCCTGCCACAGCTAGGACAAAAAATATGTGAGCTGGAGGCTAAAAAACTGTGGGCCAGCTCACAGTAACTCACCTTAGAGGGAACACAAGGTAGGATTTCTGTCCACTGTCCTGCCCCACTGAGGTAGAATTAAATCCCCCCGAGGACTTATTAATGGTTTAGGATCTCTCCTCCACCCCTTATTCTGAACCTCCTGTCAGGCTAATTCGAAATGTTAGTACTAAAAAAAATATTTTTTAAATGTTCCCCAACAGAAAGCCGAGTTAGCGACTGGCCAAGACAAAATCCAACCTGATCTTTAGTCCCCTAATCCTAAATATTTGTATTCGAAGGAGTTCCTTCCTTCCCATGGCTTCTGACGAGACTTCTGGATTGCATCCTGGTCTAGAATCTGTGCCCTTCAAGGAAAAAGCCCCATGGATTGTTTATACGTGTGTTTAGGATTGTGGGAAGCCAACCTCTTCACCCCCTGAACCCTAGTCTGAAAAAGGCCACACGAATGAATGAGAGCTTCGCTTAGAAAGGTCGAGTGGGGGTGGGGGGTGGGAAGAGATCATTTCAGTCTGTCTCTCTACGGAGACTTGCTTGGAAGTAAGCTCCCCTGCGCTCCCCTGGGTTTACTCCCGAGTAAGCCATGCAAGCCCACGTTTTTGATCGGGCACTCTGTCGCTGGCGAAACGGGCCAACTCCAACCCCAAACCTCCTGCATTTTTGCGTGTGTGAAAATAGACAGAAAACCAGACAGGAAACCTACTGGAAAGACCCATTACTTTCTACTTGGTGCCTGGGTCTCAGCAGGGCAATCCTATACGAAGTTCCGGCCCTCGGAGGCCAATGAT